AAAAAATCGGGAAATGCTAGTACCATGATACGTTACTTTTACTGGTACAATCTATTAGGGCCTGCTTATGCGTAGCCTGATGATTGGATCCAGTTAAGGTTTCGTTCTTAAGTACAGCAAGCCTTTTATCCCTTGTAAGTTTTACCTGTCGGTGGTAGGGAGGAAGGCGAGGGGGGAGGTGGTGGAAGGGCTCTGCACACTCTTAAAGTGAGCCACTAAATGAAGCATAATGCAAAATCAGGAGCATGGTTTTAAGCATAATAAGGAGGCGCCACCGGCACCCTTGTGCTGGTGGCGCGTAGATGGCAAATTTAATCTCAGGGTGACAGTGGGGGATAAAAGAATTCGTTTCTTTCATTACATTAAGCGATTGCCGGCTACAAGAAAAACGAAGTTCATTAAAAAGTATAACAAGATGGCGGACGAAATTCTCTTGCTAGAGAGGAATTATTCTTGACACCACTCTCCGCTTTATTTTTACTTTTCACACTAAAGCTCAATCACCGTTTAGCATCCTGGTTTAATTTTCATTAAATTATCAGTATAACACTTATTTTCCACCAAGCATTGACAAGTTCTGCTTTAGTTTTTACTACTCAACATTACATTCCCCAGTTATCCAACATAATCAATGAAGAGGCAAAACATTTACCTTGGGGACATGAAATCTCTCACCGTCTGGGTCGGACAGTCAGGGTGAACAAAAGTCAATATACATTAAGCCGGAACCCAACTTCTGTACAGCAAATAGCATTGTCAAATTTTGAATAAGAATCCATCGAGTACGCTGATGCGTTATGTTAGATTCAATATCCAAGTTTTCGTTCGCTTAAATTTGTTACTCCTTTGTTTGGAATTTTAAGAAGTTTCGGAGTTTTTATTTCAGCCAAATGTTGTGGTTAATTCACACGGGGGTTTAGACTCCAGCCTCTTTTTTCGTAGATGGATTTTTTACAGCCGGGATGATGATGGCAGTCTTGCTCAAAGTCATCCAAGTTATCGGGGTCATACACATGGAAAACTTGTGTGGAAATTGACACCTACGAAAAATTTGAAACAAGAATTTTCTTTCAATGTCAATAAAAAATCCAGTACGCGAGAACCAAATGAGCCAATCACGTCAAAGAACTCTAACATTTACGTTGAAAACTGACGGGAACATTTTCTCGTTTTTTTGTTGTTTGTTTCACGAAGTTGTTACACCCTCCCACCAACGCAGCACCACGGTTTCTGCAAAAACGTACCCCCTTTATTAAAATGACTTCCAGATAGATTACCCACTGGCATATTCCGAGAATCCAAATCAATGCAGTGCGAATAGGGAAATTTTTATTTGAGTGTCGAATGTGATGCCATATTACCTGGGCTTTCCTTCACTACACTATGTGCTTGTTCCGGAAAACGTGCGCCACTTTTTAAACCAGTCAGAATCAAAACTTAAACCAATCGCGTAAGGAAGAATTCCACCTTCCGAGCGTTCTATCCAGATTTAGATCACCGATAAGTATGAACGTGTGACACTTAAGTGACGCCCACATACAGATATCGTTTAATTCCTCCCCTTCTCGTTCTAAGTAATGTAAAACTTGCTGACAGCCGCATTTCCTTAGGCGGGAGGGGGGCTGTACAATTCCACTAGAGTGATGTATTTGCTGCAAGTTTTTTGTATGCTTAGGTAACCTTTATTGAGCTCCTTTGAGGGCAGGTTGGAGTCGAAGTGTCCTTTGAGTCCCCCATCTCCTTTCTTTCGACCTCTGCGGGGTGATACAATGTGTAGCCTGAAAGGGCAAATTGGCCTTTGGGATACGAATTGTCGATTTTAGTTTCTGAGATGAAAATGATGTGGGATTTCATCTCATTGTTCAAACGTTTCAGCTCATCACATTTGTTTTGTAAGTTGTTTATATTAAAATAGGTGATGAAGATCTGATTCGATTATTTTTCCCTTTCTTGGAGAAAGAGACTGTATTCCCGAGAAGGGTCATTAATTAAGTTTTTGTTCTCTTAGGACGGAGCAAAAGCATATTATCAGGGTCATTAGCATCTGATGTCAAGAGTGTATAACTTAAATAATCCTTTTCCGCAGTTTCTCCTTCCTCGTTGAAGAAGGAGTCACTGAGTGGCGGCAAAAACATATACTGGACATGTCAAGTCGATGGTTGGTCGATGTAGGAGGTATAATACTTGAAATAAGATAAAATAGTATTATCAACTGAGTTAATAATTGGCCACTATAAAGAGTTTAAAATCTGACGTTCCGAGCGCTAGCCTTTCCTCAGAGCGAATGGGGAAATTATGGGTTGTGTGTGTACTTATATGCAGAAAATGGAGCCACGCTATTGGTAGGAGCATGGTGAAGAGAAAGATAAGAATAAGTTAGTTGTATAACTAACTGTGTGTTTGAGAGTTTTGCGACTTTCCGAACTGCCGAGACGTGGGGAAATTTGAAATTAGCGGGCTGTGCAGTGAACTACGACCCGCTAAACTGACCAAACATAGTTCACGTACCAGATTAGAACTATGATAATGTAGTAGTGCCATGAAAATGTTTTTCAATAAAAGAGCTATTATGATGAGTACAGACTACCTTAATATGGGGCAAGTAAAGCCTAGACTTGAAGCCTTGAATGTAAAGACCGAATACGTTGTTTTTGGCACTCAACGACGAATCGCTTCGGCTACCTTGTCAAACGGGCCATTTAGCTTATTCCTCCGGGAGAATCCGATAAATCAAGTACAACATTACATACCTTGGTGTGATAATAGATGCAAATCTTAATTTTGGAATTCTATAGATCCCAAAATTTTTAATTACTTTTAAAGTTGGTGACTGTATTTAGGCTTTTTTTCAGTTTTTTTTTTTTTTGCATTGCCCTTATTGATAGCAGCATTTTATGCTGAAGAGGTCACCCTGGTTAAAAAACATGTATTATTATTATGATTATTATTGAAATAAAACACATCTTTCTTGCATTATCATTCGCAATGGCTTATGGAATGTGTTCAGTAGCAACAAGTGGCATAACGTTCATACGATTGAAGGGAAACTAAAGATTTTAAAACGTTACTTGGTCGAACCCTAATTTGATTTAACGATGTGTGTACTAACAACAAAGTGCAATTCTTGTACTAACAAGTTTATCATTCAAGGCTGATAAGTATGACGCCGAATGATGCAACCTGTGTTTGGAGTGAGCGTTATCTACCCTGCAATCATAATTCGAAGGTATCGTTTGCCCAAATTCGGTCGAAATAAAAGTTACCATCAGGTAAGCAGAGTTGTCAATCCTTCTATAGGTCATCGATTCTGCCAACCGAATTAAGTTTCTTCACCGGAATTTTTAACCGGCGAACAGAGTTACGTCCAGATTAGTCTACTATTAAAAAAAAATACAGTATATACTTCATGCGAAATGATATTATGTATTAAGAGCTGGTTGTTTCCGCTCAGAGTCTCACTACATATACAAGTACGAAGTATTAAGACAGAAACTGGAAATAGACTCTCAAAGATCATAACATTTGATACGATCGTTCTTTATTCAAAATGGTGGTCTCTCTAAAAACATATCTTCCTGTAATTTTCCTACATAAAAGCAAATCTTAGTTGTTTTGCCGGTCAAGTTTACAAGTTTTTAAACTAACACTAAAAAGTTTCACGAAATCGGTCAGCCAATAATAATTGTAGGAAACGTCTGCGTTTGCAGCTTATTTAGTTTATTTCTTTCAATGCTGCCTAAACATAGGATTCTTGAGCTCCTTCTATTAATCAAAATTTGCAAATAAGCTCAATTTATTTTACAGGCAAACCATCTGAATACATTTATTCGTAATAAATCATTTTTCTATTTAAGTACCTTAGAAGAAACAAGACTAGATTTTGTATGAGTGATGCAATTGCGATCCAGTATCAAGGAAGCAAAAGAACTGTATTGAAGCAAACTGCAAATTTTGCCTATAGAAAATTCTGCAAAAGAAATTTGTTACCTTAACAGGACAAACGAACATAATTGAACATTCACAAAACATCCCTAAATTAGGTGCCTTTCCATAGATGGTTGGTGAAGGTATTCCACAAATAAGCCTTACATTTCGTGAAATCACAGTTCGCTACAAATAAGGTTTTATCGAGCACCAACTGTATTTGGTAAGAAGTTGTTTGGAAAGCGTGCGACAGCTTTAGGTTGTTAAAATTTCTGACGAGCTCTGACAACCGAAGGGTTGCTTAACGTTTTAGCTTTAAGTTGATCGAAAAATTTCCGCTTAAGATTTCAATCTTAAAAAACATTATGAGGAGACCAAGTATTCAATCAACTTTGTCGTAAAACTTTCAACTCTGTCCCGAGATCTGTAGTCCCATGGGCGATCATTTGCACTGTGCCGTTAAATATTTACTTCATTCAACCTCCTGGCAAAGTTTCTGTGTTTATTAAAGGCTAGCATGACAAAATATATTTTATCTTAACAGAACTTACTTATTTACAAAATCCCTCTCCTTTTTCGCGTTTAAGATGACTAAAAAGTAGACTCTACCAGATCCGAAGGTTGATAAAATCTCACTTCGATCGACTAAACAATTCGTTGAGAAAAATGTTCAAATTTTTCTTCAATAAGATATTTCTATGAACCATACGAAGACATCCATGAACTATATACATGGCCATCTGGAGTTACAACTCTGCAATAAATAATAGATGGGTAAATGGTATAACTGAAATTGAATAAAATACTGAATTAAAATCTAAAAGCTAAATTAAAAAAAGATACTGTTAAAATTTCAACAAGTGCGAATCAAAATACAAGCGTATCGGGTAAAGTGCAATTCTTGTTTCTTGCCAACAAAAAATAAATTTTGGCTAACAGTGTCCTTAAGATTATGTTCATATAGAAACATTTTATACTTCAATAAATTTATTTGGATTTTTTACATAATGAGTTGCTTGATGAACGCATTTTTCTTATTCGATTTTGACAATACTCTTGTATTAATCCAAGTAAGGCTTCCTTGGATAAGCGTACCATTTTGTTTACAATACCTTTAAAAAAGTAATCGTTCCCCATACTGGTGACATTAACTCAATTTTTCAATGCTATTATATACTGTATTGACCTTTCATTTCCAAAGCCTCATACCACCAAACATCACGAGAATCTCCTTTGCATTCGACAGGGAATTGCAAGTCCCGATCTGGAGGTAAAGTGTATTCAGTTTTAATTATTATGTAATGTTTCAAATAGCGAGGAAACTGCCTTTAAAACCACTTTTCGGCTTTTAAATGATCGGCAGAAAAAATTTCACAAATTGGGACAATTTTGAGATTTCACCGAAGCAAATTGAAGAAAATCAAAGGCAAAGCCAGATTATCACTGGCGAGCGCCTCCCACTCGTGGAGCCTTGGCTTGATAGCTAAAATCATTTTGATATCATTTACTACAGCAAACGATGGTCCGAATCTTGCTCATTGCCCTTTTCGTGGCTTTTATTGACCTAGAAAAGCGGAAACATAAAAATTATATAGAAAAACAGTACGCTGGCGCGCGTGCAACATTGATCAAAGACCCTATGGAGCCTCCTTAAGGTTATTCCCTTAGTATTGCACTGCACATCCTGTGCTGGAGATACCATGACCTTTAGCTTTTGAACGAGTATGGTGTCCTTTATATTTATTTTATTCTTTTATTTATTTATTTATTTTTTTTTTTTGCATAATTTTGGTGTACACGTTATCAACCAATCAGAACGTTCGTAATATAGAAATACGGACATGTAATTATAGCAGTCGCTATTCAGGCATGACCGCTTGAACAATGGCTGGACCTTTTATAAATTTCAATTGTGTTTTCGGTTTCAATATCATTTTAAGTGATTCCTGTGGTTTCTTTCGGTGCCATGATGAAAGTAGATACTTTTGAATATTCTGTTCTAACTGTTTAGGGATTTAGAGAGAAGTTTGCGAATATTAGCTTTTATTCAAACCGGCAGTGAATCTGAGTGAATCTAGTCTATGAAATGAAGTCATCAGATCTTCAGCGAGAACTCAAATGAAAGGGACGGTCAGGTGAGTATATTTCATACAGCTGCCTTCTTTCAGATAATTTGTAAGTTTAGTTTGCTGATGGCAAGGCAAGTTTGTTTCCTTAGGCTTTCTGAAATTGTTCACTCAATCGGTACATACTCATATTATCTTTTTCTTTGATTTGTTACAACTATCACATTAACTCACCCTGTTGCGAATGATTTTGAAATGTCTTTGAACACAGATGCATAAATGATTTCGACTTTCGAATAGTTTCGGTAGCGATTCTGTTCTTACACGTATATGGTAATGAATAAAGGGAAAGTCCAACTGGTTCAACGGTAGTGTAAGAAGAAATATATGTACAGTAAACTTTTGCGTGTTTGACCCAGTGCGGAATGCGGTCTGAGAAACCGTTTCGAGTACAACTGGTTTTGAATTTGCTATGGTTATGCCCTCGCATGAGCGACTGCGGATTTTAATTCTAAACATTCCTGCGCCATGATAAAATCAAACTTAATTCATGTAGAGAGTGAAAGAATATCAAACGCCGATAAAATTTTGAACGGTCTGTGTACGACACAACCATAAAAGATGAAGAAATTGCCAAGACGTATGTTCGTTGTTAACAACAACAGCTCAAGTTAAATTTTCTCTTGAAAGTTAATTAGTCAGGCTAAAACAAGACTTCCAGACCTTCTTTTTAAATAATGGCAGCATTCACATGTAAAATAAGTTATGACTGAAAGTGTTTTATTTTTTATTTTTTTGAAACTTGGTAATAACAGTCCTGGGTTTATAGCCGAACTTTCGTTTGGAAAATCAGCAGATGGAGAGAAATTTCGAGGAATGTAGCGACGGTCATTTATGGTTAGAACGTTGTATTGCTTATAGCATGCAGCTGGGCAGCCTGCTTTGCCAAATATATTAGTGTAAATTGCGTATATATTTCAACAAAGTAAAGCATATCGTAAACTAATCTTAATTTAACTTTACAGGGAAAATACGCACCCTCTCCGAAAGGCTCGAATTAGCAAGATACTCGAGTGGCCTGCGCAAGATGAGCCCGAAAGCAAACATCGAATGCTAAGAAATCCCTTGCCGTTCATACACATCTATATTTATGGAATATTTCCAACGCGTTAAATGGTCTTAGAAGGGAAAAGTATACATGTGGTGCATGCAAACTTTCATGCTTGGTTTTCAACGGCCGCCATCTTTGCTTCGTCATTAAACGTATTTTTGTCAAATGTAAATTGTAGAGCTGTTGTTCACTTAGAAACTTTCAGTCTCTCTTGACAACTCCTTAAATTACAACCTCGAACTTGGAAAAATAAATCATCCAAATCAAGTTGTATAAATGTTAGTATTTTGATCGGAATGAGGAGAGAAAGGTTTCGTTATCTCTTTCTCTCTCTCCCTTAGTTTCAATTTTCTACCGAACTCGTTTCGCCACGCTTGAACTGGAATGATTTGAACATGTATCTCTAACAAAGACTGCTTTCTTTCTTTGTGATAATCTGGAGAAAGGGTTCTCCTGCTGTACAATATTATTACAACATGTGCGATGCTGGCTTCGATTGTGTGCAAAAGCAAACATGGTGAAGGATGTACTTTTTATTTGCGAACTTGAAATCATATCAAGGCTGACAAAATACAACTACACTTTTGAGTCAACTCTTGTCTGAAAATCTGCCTAGTAATCCTTTTTATTCTAATTTTTAAATATTTCTCTCTGGATATGACAGATTTTGAAAGATATCCCAGCATATTTTAACCCACCATATGTAAACCAAATTCAAAGGGTATAAGTTTTAAATAATTACTTGTACCATGAAGACAAATCTTAGAAGCATATAACACAATTTCTCACTCTCTCTCTCTTTTATGAAGCTTCTTTTAAGGTATAATTGAGACTGTTTTGTTTAAGTTACCTTGAGGGTCCACATGAAATCGCTGCTTGAATTGATGTAATTTATAAAAACACTTCAAGAACACACACCAGAGAAGCCACAACAATCCAACTAAACCTCTCCTCAGGATGTGACCGATAGCCATAACCACTCGCTGAATGAGACTTTTGTTTTCCTTTTTCAAGCCTGTTTTGAGTGCACGATGTGAATCAAAGCAAAAATGCTTAGTTTGCATATCACGATAAGGTTGTGTCTTAAGAAGCTTCTAAACGAGACAGGCGAAAAGGCAACGCCTTTCATTTTCATGGCAAATCTTGAGTGGCATCCAATTGACCTCAGACGTGATTTTTGATTCGCCATATGGTGTGCCAAATTTGCATGCGTTCTGCTTAAAATAAATCACGTTTGCAACTTGCAGCATATCTACGTGCTTTATTTTAGGCTATTTTCGCAGAATTATTATTTTCATAAAGCGTTTTCTAGATGCGTCTCACATTTCTATGCATATAGTTGGTTTTATGTCTGTATGCCATCAGATGCATGGTGGCATAAGCGGTATGCCTCTTTGTTTCTCCTTCCCAAGGTGAAATGGAAGCGTTTTGCTAAAAAAAAATCACGTTTACAACTTGCAACAATTTAAGCGGTATGCCTCCTTTTATAGCCTACGTGTAACCGTACACTGTAAAATTAAAAGAGTTGATTTGGCCCCAAAAATGGGGCCAAAACGAGTGAGTCCAGTTTGGTACTCGCTTAGGGTCAATTCGGCCCCATTGAAATGGGGCTGTTTTTGGCACCAATTTTGGGGCTGAATCGATCCCGTTGTAGGGGCCAAATTGGACCACGTGAAGGGTGAATTTGAAAATACAGGGGCTACTTTGAAATTTATAGGGGCCAAAACAGCCCTCAAAATTTCAGCCCTCTCACAAATGGCCCCTTTAAAAAGAGCCAATTCAGTTCCAATGTGGGCCACTTCAAAAGTAGAGGGCTCTTTCCTCTCCATACTGATTTTCCCCCTTACAGTCAAATAATGAAAATACGCCATATACTTTATCTTTCAAACACTCATTTATTAGGGTCTAGATATTGTTTATGTAAAAACCTTTTACACTACTTGATTTTACAGTTATTAAGAATCTTAATTGCGGTATAAAACAGACAAACTTTGAAACATCATGTGAAAGAATAGAACATACATACATATTTAACATTAATTCAACCATTTTCTAAAATAGATCTCTTCCCTAAATCAGTATACTTCTTAACAGTGCAAGCATTGCAAGAAATTACACCCAAGAGACACTTGTGAGTAAAGCTTCCCTTTTCAATGACTTAGCACATGTGGTAATGTAAAACAGCTTATAATCACAACTGATTTAAAGTACAGAAAATTATCAAAATAAGACAGAGGCAACAAATGGTCCAGTTCCTGCACAAGAATATAGATCTTGTTTGATTTGTGCATATGAAAAACAAAGAGCCTTATGGCAGCATAGAGTATTCTTCCAGTGGATGTGAGAACACATGCACTCATATTGCTACTTTAGATATTATCAAAATGTAAACTATCAGCAAGAACTACCTCAGGCATTTTCCAAGTCATTGAAAACAGAGGAAACAGTGACAAGAGTCTGCCTGTGCCCAATTTCAAGCAATGCTTGCTCTAAAAAAAGTCAAAATTGCCTTTGACCAATTGTAAGAAACATTGAAAATATAAATGAGCCAAGTAACCCAATGAGAACATCAAGAATCTTTTCTTGTTAGAAGTGACAAATTACACTTCCATCTGTTACTATATTCAGGAGATTGATGTATTGAAGATCTCCAACAATTAAAATTTGTGCTGGACATAATCTCTGATTGCTGAATCAACATCAGCTACTCTATGCAATAAAAACAAGTTTTACAACCACATTAAAATCAAGCCAAAGCGCAAAAAGTGCCTGTAGCCAGTAAAAAAGAAAGAATATATATATACACATAAGTTAAAGAATTAAAGAGGACGCATCAATACTCTGTGACTGAGTTTCGTGCCTAGGCGCTCGTCCGACAGAAAAGTTCTGTCGGACAAGCGCTTAGACGCGAAATTCAGAGTCACAGAGAATCGATGCGTCCTCTTTATTCTTTAACTTATGTATACTTAGCTCTGCTACCACATCATCGAGCACTTTATGCCAAGGTAGACTCTACCCCCACATTTATATATAATTATATATATATATATATATATATATATCATCCGTTTAAAAAAATTTGCATCCGTTCAACGCTGTAGCAAAAACATTTAAACGGTTTGCTTATCCGTTTAAAAAAAAAAGCTATCCGTTTAAATTTCCACGGAAAGCTTTGGACTGTTTGCCTATCATTCTGATACGGGCAGTTCGAAGTATCAATCTTACGTTCGCTCGATACTCGCCGGTTCCATCTTATTTTGGTTTTATCTTTTGCGTGATCATAGTAAGCGAGTTTCCGTCGTATCCTTTGACTAACAAATTAAGTTGAAATATCCGTTTGTAAAAACCAAGAGCATCGAGAGCCAATTGCAATGAAGCCATTCATTTGACCATGACCCTGCCATCGACTTTGATCGATCAGAACAGTGCGCCTGATTTTGATTACAGATTTAGTGAAATCGAGATAACCCTCTCTTGGTTCCCGTCTCATA